TGTCTCTGGTCCTCATGGGACAAAGGATAGGCAGGTGGTATGCAAAGCTGAGGCTAATTGTCTCCCGCTACCTCCAACTAGAATTACTCATTGTCTGTGTACCTGGTGAGGCAGTTGACTGCAGGGACCCTTCTACAAAAACTCAGAGCAAAGGGCATCCGGAATCCAGACCATTCTCGGGCACTGAGTGAGTAGCATCCCATCCCCCTTCCCCACTCTGATCTGGATCTAAGTCTTCCTGGCCTTCTAGCCTTTTTAATCAAACCCATAACCTGACAGTTTACCTCACCTCTCACATTAACCTCAGCCCTCCCCTTATCCCCCTTACAATCTTAGTGGCTGAGAAGTCGGACCTTGCATTCCCAATTATACATCTTCTCTGCACCTCCCAGACCCTAACTCTGGCTCCACTGGCATATGGGTTCTCTGGACTGGAAAGAATCTTAAGGATTGTCTACTCTAACCCTCTCATGATGCTTTAAATTTTTTTTTTTTAATTTTTGATTTTAGAGAGTAAGGGAGGGAGAAAGAAAGGGAGAGAAACATCGATGTGGGAGGGAAACATTGATATGGGAAAGAAACATCGATTGGTTGCTTTGCATATGGGCCCCCACTGGGGACTGAACCTGCATTGAACTGGCAACCTTTTGGTTTCCGGGATGATGCCCAACCAACCGAGCCACACTGGCTGGGGCCCTCTCTTGTTGCTTTAATTCCCATTAGATTATCTCTGCCAAAGTATCACGAAGCAATATTTAAGAATCTTCGGGGATGGGGAAGTCTTACCCACCTGGCCTTCATAATACAGATCCCGTGCTACTCCCATGTGACAGTCCACTGGCCTCCAAAAAGCCAGCTGCTTCTGACCTCACCACCTCCCAGGTTTCTTCTCCAGCCTTGCTGACTCCATTTCTCTGGCTTCACTCCTGTTTCAGTAAAGGAGAAACTGACTGCTGACCCTGACAGTGAGGTGGCCACAACAAGTCTCCGGGTGTCACTCATGTGCCCGGTGAGTACAAGGGAGAAGAGATGTGGGGAGGAGGGTTGGGTTAAACTTCTGGACTCAGAGGAGGATTTAGGCATACTAGAGTGAGGCTTTCTGAGACATGGGGACTCTGATCAGAGAATTCATCTCTTCTCAGCTAGGAAAGATGCGCCTGACTGTCCCTTGTCGTGCTCTCACCTGCGCCCACCTGCAGAGCTTCGATGCTGCCCTGTATCTACAGATGAATGAGAAGAAGCCAACGTGGACATGTCCTGTGTGTGACAAGAAGGCTCCATATGAATCTCTTATAATTGATGGGTAGGACCATTCTGTATTCTGCTTTGTCTTACCTAGGACAGCCAGTAGCTTTGGGGGGGGGGTGTGTGTGGGGGTGTGTGTGTGTGTGTGTGTGTGTGTGTGTGTGTGTGGTGTCTAACCACTTTTATAATGACAGCCAGTAGCTTTGGGGGGGGCGTGTGTGTGTGTGTGTGTGTGTGTGTGTGTGTGTGTGTGTGGTGTGTCTAACCACTTTTATAATACTTCCAACACTGAGGACTTATTCTACACTAGGCATGGTGCTGAGCACTTTGCATGCCTTATCTCATTGAATCCTCAAAGTAACTCTGACATAGGTATTGCTGTCATCACAAGTGAGGAAACTGAGGCCTAGAGAGATTGAGTGTTTTGCCTGAAGTTATACGGTTAGTAAATGGCAAAGTCACTGTATTGAAATGTTCTATCACTTATAACAAGTGCCTGGCCTCTCACTGAGCATAGCAATAAAGTTCTTTTGAGGGCTTGGACGTGCTGTTCTAGCTTGTCCCAACTCCTTTACAGAGCCTAAATTATGGTCTTGTTCCCAGTGCCCTTTTTAAGGTGGTTTATGGAGTTCTGTATTTCTGCTCCTTTTTTTGTCCCTTGTACTACATGAAATAGGTGTTTAGAATATATTTATTTTAAAGCTTAGTATTTAAAGTTTGCAAAGCTCTTTTACACACTGTCCTTGATTCTAACAATTCTGTTCAGTAGGGTGAATAATATCCCTATTTTACAGATGAGGCCTGGCTACTGTCCCAGCCCCATGAATTACCTTCTCTCCTCTCCTCCAGTCTATTCATGGAGATTCTTAATTCCTGCTCGGATTGTGATGAGATCCAGTTTATGGAAGATGGATCCTGGTGCCCAATGAAACCCAAAAAGGAGGCATCTGAGGTTTGCCCCCCGCCAGGGTATGGGCTGGATGGTGAGTGATCCCTTGTCTCCCAGCTGAGCTAAGTCTTGAATGGCCTCTTCTCTGAGACACAGTATCCTTACCACCCACAGGCCTCCAGTACAGCCCAGTCCGAGAGGGCAACCCATCAGAGAATAAGAAGAAAGTTGAAGTTATTGACCTGACAATAGAAAGCTCATCAGATGAGGAGGACCTGCCCCCAACCAAGAAGCACTGTCCTGTCACCTCAGCTGCCATCCTGGCCCTACCTGGAAGCAAAGGGTATGAGAAAATAGGCTGACTCTATAACAGAAGGGACAGAGGAAAAAGTCAGGAAAGCTTTCCAGTCACAGGGCAAAGTCTGGTGCAGAGAGGGGACTTGGGAGGCTGAGCTGGGTGAGGGCATCTATGGTTTGTTGGCTGCCCCAGTTCCTTGTCTTTCCTCACAGAGTCCTGACATCTGGTCACCAGCCATCCTCAGTGCTACGGAGCCCTGCTATGGGCACGTTGGGTGGGGATTTCCTGTCCAGTCTCCCACTACATGAGTACCCACCTGCCTTCCCCTTGGGGGCGGACATCCAAGGTAGGACATTGACTACAAAATGGGACCCTAAACTGCCACATCCTCCCCAGAATCAGATCAAACTCTTGCTCCTTTTCAAAGTTTTCTGGCTCTCTTTGCAAAGAACCATAATCCAAGGAATTTTTCTGTTGTTTTTGGTGGCGAAGGGGTCAGACAGGAGGTTGATTTTAATTTTTTTCTCACCAGGTTTAGATTTATTTTCTTTCCTTCACACTGAAAGTCAGGTAAGTGATCCCTTCTCCTATGAAGATCTCAGATCTCTGAAGATTCCTTTCTAGGCAGTAATGGGTACCCTCCCTCTCTCATTTTCCCTGGAGACCTAAATCTGTTTCTTCGTGAGGGAAGAAGGGATGGTGCAGGCAGTTTATTTCCCTCCGAGGCCCCTCTAGTACTTCCTCAGACTTTCACCTATGTCTTCCTCAATCCCTGTTACTGTTCTGTCTCCAGAGATTTTAGTGTAGTTCCGCCCCTTGCCTGCTTACCCACCCATGTGTACTTAAGCACCACGCCTGCCTCTACTGGACATTCCATACATTTCAGATGCCCACAAGGCCAAGAAACTAGCAAGCTGGAGGGGCTGTCTCAAGACAGGGAATCAGGTTAGGCTGCAGGGAAGTAGGGAATCAGAGAGAAGCTCTCCTTCTCAGAGAATACCTGGGGTCCAAAGGGGTTGATTTATCACATAAGATATTTCTGAAATGAGTGAGGGGGGGGGCAGGTAAAGAAAGGATAAAATCTTAAACTGTGCCCTTGATTCCTCCCAGCACTATGGTCCCTCCGTCATCACCTCGCTAGATGAACAGGATGCCCTTGGCCATTTCTTCCAGTACCGAGGGACCCCTTCCCACTTCCTGGGCCCACTAGCCCCCACATTGGGGAGCACTCACCGCAGTACTACTCCAGCACCCACCCCTGGCCGTATCAGTAGCATTGTGGCTCCTGGGGGGGCCTTGAGGGAGGGGCATGGAGGACCCCTGCCCCCAGATCCCTCTTTGACTGGCTGCCGGTCAGACATCATTTCCTTGGACTGAGTCCCCTGGATTATGGAAACTTCACTGTCTCCCAACACTAAACAATTATACTCTGGAGTCCGGACCCCTGGCCACTTTTGACCCCCTCGGAGGCTTTGGCCAGAGGTCAGAAGGACCTTCATGGACACTTGTTTTTGTCCTCATCTCTCTGTCTGACAAGGCCAGCACCCAAAGGGTTAATATTTAACCTGTTTTTAAGGACATTTGGGTTCTGTTTTTTGAAGTGTTCTTTAGATAGCTGGCATGTTCCCTTAGGTACATTAACCTAGGCAGTGGGAAGCAAATGGGATGTGATATGAATTGGAGAAAAGGCTGAATTCTCAGCCTTGACTATCTAGAGCCTAGAGGGAAGGGGCCCTTCTACTGACCCCCTCAGTTGTCCTTTCTTCCCATTTCCCAAATCCATGGCTCAGTTCCTTCCCCATAGCAATCGTCTCTTTTATGTCCATTCCGTTTGCTTTGGCCAAACAAGACAGGTGGAGAAACTGAGACAGACTCATGGACAGAGAACTCTATTTTGGGTTGCAGACTTTTTTGTACTTAAACAAGGAAAACCAAAATATATCCAAAGATGACTTCCCCTGTGTCCTACTTCCCGGTATGCCTGAGGAGATAAGGCCTTAGCCCTGATCCCCAGGGATTTGGGGAATGGGATCAGCCCTATTGCCTGGGGCCCTCTATTTATATATTTAAGCTCACAATGCTTCTTATGCTGACCAGCCCAGGGTTGGAGCTTCTAAAGGCCCATGTCCCTGTGGTGAGGTCTAGCTCATTCTGCACCTTTCCTAGGAGGTGGGATGACCCTTGTGCTCTCCCCAGTCTCCTTTTTCAGGCTCTTCTAGGGCCTAGATCTCTGTTGTGATTTTACTTTTTATTCCCAAAGTTGTAGCAAAGTTCCTACCCATAATAAAGGTTGTGAATCTTCTGTGTCTTAGAGGTGGACTGGAGAGGGGATTATGCACTGTCTTTCCAGATCCCTGGTTTGAGGGGTGGGGTTGGGGGGGCAGGGGGGACATGTTCTGTTCTTCCTTTACAGGCTCAGGGTCCACATGAGCTTCAGTTTCACATGGTACAGGTGTCACACTGAGGACGTCCAAGAGCAGTTGTTCTTTCCTCCTCCCCCAATGCCCACAAAAGCACTAGTACATTCAGTCCAACCCTGTAGAGCCCTCCTGCCCTTCTTCTTCACCTTTATCTGCACAGATACTGCAGCCTGAGCCTGAGGACAAACTTGGTCCCAGTGCTGACCCTCTCTTTGACTTCTGCGTTGGGGTTTTCTGTAGCAGTGTGGACATGGGAATGGCCAGAGGTCGAGCTCTTCCATCCTCTAGTTCCACTGCACTACATGACAACTCCTGTCTGGGCTTTGCCTTGTATCTTAGCTCACTTCCATATCCATTGTCATAATCCTCCCAACTTCCACAGCTGAAGGGTGGGTGGATTTTAACCTTATTTTACAGAAAGAAAACAGGTTCAAGGAGGGTTAAATGACTTGCCTCTGTGGGAGAGTGGGACAGAAGCCCAGGTCTTCAGGGCTAGCCAGTCAGAGCAGGAACCCTTGGAGTTTGATGGATAGTGTCTTGTGCTGATCTCATGTGCTCTCTTCAATTATTAGTTGACCGACTCACCACCTAAAACTCTCCCACCACACAAATCACCTCTCCTCCTGGGAGGAGATACAGAAGCTGAACTTCTTAATGTTTATGTGTTGGTGTGTTGGAGGGTCAGGGAGAAGCTCTTACAGGACAGAGAGAGTGGTATGTCCTGGGAGAGATGTCTAGGTGTCTCTGTCCCATCCTCTGTGGCAGCCATTGCAGCTGCTACATCTGGGTCCAGCCATAAAGAGGCACTCACCTCACTTGGGTTTGGTTGGGTCTGGGCTTGGGACCAGACATGTTGATCCCTTTATCATGGCCTCTCTCAGGAAGCCTCTGCTGATCACAATCTACCCACAGGTGGAATGGAGAGAAACGTGGGGCAGGGGGCAAGGCTAGTGAATTTCTCTGACTTCCCCCTCCCCCACCTTGGTCACAGTCAGAACCAGTCTGCTAGAGCTTCCTGTGCCCTCATATCCTCCCTCCACTGGCAGCCCTACCTGCAGCTGCTGCTGTGACTCTTGGGAAACCACAAGTAGATAGAGAATAATGTGATGGTATTTGGGGAGACCCCAGCTCAGCCTAGGACGGTAGGCAGACTGAGAAGAAATTGGCAAAAATGAGAACTTCCTATATCTTTGAGACTTTCTAAATACAGCTGAGGAAGTAGAGGTAGAGATGGTGGAGCATAGAGATAGTGCAGGAGAGACAAAGGTGAGGATTGTGGGTTTGGAAACACCAAACCACCTATTCTCCATTGTTTTCCTTGTGGCCAAAGCAGGTAAGGCTGTTTGTTCTATGGGACTTAGTCGGGTACAAGCTGAGGGTTCTTGGTTAAATAGGGAGGGACCTGGGAGAGGTTTCACCTCCCATAACCCCAGAGGGACCCAAGAGAACTGGCCTTGAGGCAGCTGTAGTCCACTCTCCTTACAAAGTGCTCAAAGCCCTCTGTCCGGCAGCTGGTAGAGAGGGTGAGTCAGCCAAAGTCCTTGGTTGGTTTCTTTCTCAGGCCACACCCAAGGTGTTCCCTTACAGGTCTTGGGTTCAGGACAGGGTGCAGTTTGGGTCAGCTGAATGGCTACCTCTCCAAGTTCCACATGTCCACATGCAACAGCAGTGGGCCCAGTAGGTGAATGGTAGTGGTCTTGGCCAGGGGCCACCACTCCCTATTTATATTGCCCCCTCCAGTGGGCACAGATGCAGTTGCAGCCTCTTGTGATTATGGAGTAGACCACATTTCTGTGCTTACTGTACTTCAGAAAGTGGGAATGGCATGTTAGGTGAAGAGCGAGTTTCTTCCGACACCTTGGGGCCTTGTCCTCAGTGTGCTCACCTGGGGGTACCCAGAGGTTGGGGGAAACTCTGAGGGTGGGTGTCCTTCCGGACAAGACAATCCTGTTGCTGGACTGCAGGATGGTCGCCACACCCAGATCCACACCTAGATTCGTAGGCAGCTCAGTTCCCGGGGGCTTGGTCCAGGGCCACAAAAGGGCAGAAAGGGGGTCGTTGGCAGGAGTCCCTTGGGTTAAGGTAGCGGGGCGGAGCTTTCAAAAATTGGGTGACATGGCGCAGGATGGGGGAGGAGGCTGAAGGCTGAATCGGGGCAATTGGCCCAGCCCCCAGACCTCACAGGTAGCTGTCACCGGGTCCGGGGCCAAGGCCATACCTGCAGCCCTTCTGTCAGTCCCCACCGCTGGAGCCCTCCTCCTAAGCTGGAGCGGAAGCCTGGCCGAGGCACCCAGAAATGGCCTGTCCGAAAGGAGGAGCTGTCCTCCCTGCAAGCCGCAGTATGTGGGCCACGGCCCGAGCCCTGCCCCGAAGCCGAACAGGCCACACACTACGCGAAGCTCACCCACTCCCGGCGCCTGGAAAGCAGCAGCAGCAGCACCCGTGCCCCAGTCCTGTGGCTCTGGTTCCCTGCCTACTGGTTGGCGCCCTCTGGTGGCCCAGCGGCGCCTCCCCTCGGTGCGCAGGGCCGGAAGGAAGGCAGGCAGGCAGGCTCCCCCAACGTCCCCGGGAAATTTAGGCATAACATCTGGGGATGGTTCATCGATGTAACAGTAATAAATGACAAAGGAGACCACCTCTAAATCTTCAGCTCCTCTTTTTTTCCCCATCTCTGTTTAGGACAATGATCCCTGGGCCGCATGATTTCTGGACTCACACGTCCCCTCCCACCAGTCATGGGCTGAACTATAAGCACCCTTCCACAAGCGCTGCGCACCCGTTACAGCACGTATCGCCTCAAATTACACCTTCTAACCAGATCCGCAGGGAGCATTTTTGACACCATCCCTTTCACCTCAATTCTGGCAGGATTCATATGCCTTTTCTAATAGTATATCCTATTTGCAGTCCCCCCCGCCCGCCCCCAAACTACCCTCTGCTTCCTTCTGGGATCCTTGTCGCCTTCCATCTGGCAAATCCTCATTTTTCAAACTACAGATCAAGTGTCACTTTAAAAAAAAATTTTTTAGAGAGGGGGAGAGAGAGAGGGAAAGAAACATCAATGTGTGGTGGCCTCTTGAGGGCCCCATGCTGGGGACCTGGCCCACAACCCAGGCATGTGCCCTGACTGGGAATCAAACCAGCGACCCTTTGGGTCACAGGCTGGTGCTCAGTTCAGTGAGATACACCAGCCACGGCCAAGTGTCACATTCTATATGGTCTCTCTCTACATACTTCTCATTATAGCCCCACCCATACTCCTTTGTACGTACTCAGGTCCTCCCACTAGCCTGTATGCTCAAGGCACAGTCATCTTTGTATCCCTAAGGTATGACCTAGTACTGGGTATGAATAGGTGCTCAGTCAATGAGTAGCCTGAAGGCAGAGGTGGTATCTTGTTTTATCTTTGTATATTACACCTAGGATAATGGCTAGCAATTAATTGGCACTCAGATGTTAATTGGAAAGAACCAACTTTGGTAAGAGGAAACTGAAGAGATTATAAAACACTTAACTGTGTTAAGTGAACTGAAGCTGCTGTGATGTTACATCAACTATATTAATCGTACTGAGAAAGCAAGCTTAGAATTGCCACTCTTAAGGAACCATGGAGAAGAGGAAGGCAATGACTTACTGAGTATTTACCATATGCTGGGCTTTATGAAGTTTTTACATACAGTTTCAGCCTGGGGCTGGGAAATGTGGCTTCTATCCATAGATTCCAGAGTGATTGCTTGGGCCAACCCACCTGCTAGTCCTGAAAATGCTTTCTCCCCTACTTGGTGATAGCCTTTCCTATTCCCTACACTGTGTGTATATGTGTCTATGTGTTTAAGATTACATTATAACAAAATAAAGAACAGGTATAGCTTTTTGAAAATGGAATGAATTGTTTGGGAAGAAGTTTCTTCTGCTCCCAAGGATGTAGAAACACAGGCTGGGCTGTCTTCTTGATGGGAACTGATGCATCTGATAGATGATTACTCCAGTTGATTTTAAGTTTCTCCTGCCAGGGAGGGGAGAATGTAGTGATGGGTCCAATACAGGATCAGCAAACTTTAAAAAAACATGTATAGCTCTTTCTGGTGTATTCTAGGAGGTAGGAAAAAAGTATTTCAGTACAAGAATCTGTAACTTATCCTGCTGCAAAGAATGCATCCAGGCACCTCCTTTAATTTTCCTTCCAAACCCTCCACATCTTTGAGGAAGACTCTTCTTCAGGGTCATTGTCTCTTCATAGTGCTCTCTATGTATGACTCCAGCAAGAAGATAGTTTCATCCACCTGGATCTCACTGGCATCCAACCTGAGTGAAAAAGTGAAAGCATTTGCTCAGTCTGAACATTTATTAGCATACTTATGATTAGAGGCTGGCCTGGGTGTGGCCACAGAGAAACGCTTGGTTACCCTTGAGAGTCATGGGTAGAAAGCAGGAGAACCAACAGATCATTCTCCCATTTACTGAATCTCTCTTAAATGCAAGGCACTGTGCAAATTGCTGAGGATTCAAAAGATATAGCCTCTGTCCTAGAAGAACTTCAAGTCTAACTTGCAGCTAGAATAAAGAATAGCATATGTAAAGGCAGAGGTATAAAAAGATCTAGAGTGTTTTAAAATAGAGGCTGAGAGTGGCTGAGTCTAAGTGTGTAGTGATTAGGAATAGAAGGGATCTTCCTCTACACGATTGAAACCATCTATAAAAACCCCACAGCTAACATCATACTTAATGGTGAAAGACTGAAAGCTTTTTCCTTCTGATCAGGAGTAAGACAAGGATGTCTGTTTTTCACTTTCATTCAGCCTTTTACTGTAGGTTCTAGCAAGGACAATTAGCTAAGAAAATGAAAAAAAAGGTGTTCAGGTTGACGTGATCCTATATATAGAAAAATCTCAAAGGATCTGCAACAAAAAAAGAAACAAAACTACTAGAGTCAAGAAATTCTTAAAAGTTGCAGGATATAAAATCAAAACACAAAATTAGTTTTATTCCTATACACTATCAATTAACAATTCAAAAATGAAATTAAGAAAATGCTAAACTAGCATCAAACAGGAATAAAATAGGAATAATTAACAAAAGAAGTAGAGAATCTGAACATGGAAAATGACAAAACATTGCTGTAAGACATTAAAGACTTAAGTGACTGGAAAGACCTCCCATATCTGTGGGTTGGAAGATTTAATATTGTTAAGTTGGCAATACTCCCCAAAGTAATCTACAGATTCAGAGCAATCCCTGTTAAAGTGAATGGTGAGGAGTAAAAGGAAATGAAGATGGAGAGATAGGCAGCTACGAAATTGTAAAAGGCCCTAAATGTCACACCAAGGAGTCTGGTCTTTATAAATATAGGAGTTTATAAAGCATTTAAAGTAGGAGAGTGGTATCAATCATTTTAAAGATAATAACTTTGAGAGCTTCTAAGAGATGGTTTGTGGAGGCGGGGGTTGGGGGACAGCACTGGTGATTGTGAAGACCTAGGAAATAGGTTATGAAGGCCTGCATAGAGGCCAAGGTGAAAGGCCAGATTTGAGACATCACTGAAGTAAAATCAACAACCTTGGTGAACAAGAGCATGCGGTTAGGGAGGAGAAGCTGAGGATGTCTTCAGAGTTTTCAGCTTAGGGAAATAAGTGGATTAAATTCTGTTAATTGTGCTTAAAAGAAGATAGTGAATTTAGGTTTGTTTGTGTTAACTTGGAGAGGTGGATTTGTCTGGAAGGTATTTTGAAATGTAAGTTCGAAGTGTATGACGCTTACTTGTTGACATTACGTTTTAGAGCTTCTAGCTGCTGGCGTTCAGGAGCTGTGATCATCTCTTCTATTTCTTGTAGCTGTGCCTCTTCTGCACCTGTAGCCTGCATAGATGCAATGATGGCTTCTATCCTTTGAGACTTTTCTAGTAGACGCCTGTCATACAAACACAACTCTGAAGCTTGTCTCCTAGCCATGGAGATTCTTTTTACGCATTAGCCCTGGGGCATAACTCCCCTTTACTATTCCTGGTCAAAGTGGATAATGTCACCCTCCAAGGACGTTTTCTACAAACTTAATTAGAAATGTGACTTCACTCCTGAAACTCTTATTGCCTCTCATTTGCACTTTAAGTTTGGTGACAGTCTGTGCATTTCTCATTAATTTAATATACAAAATTATTTCCCTGGGGGTATATTAGAAAAGTATAGACAAATGCACTGCTTATGCCAACCTAAACCAACAAGTCAGTACAACTAGACTGGTTATTGCCTATATTGGTTTCCATTTCTACAGGAAATTTCTCCTCAAGCCTTTGACCTTGAAAAAAGTATAATCACCAAACTAAAATGCTACTCACTTGTTCTCTTTGGTTTCAAATTTCCTCCTTTGTATCAAGTTGGCTATGCTCTGAGAAGAGAGAAGACAAAAAGTACACATACTTCTATTTAAGTAGCTGAGGTAAAATGGCTAGAGTGGGCCTGAGAGTAAGACTATTTTGTGTGGAGGGAACAGAGAAAAGGTCTAGAGGAGTTACCTTGTAGCACCTGTGCAGCAACATGCGGGCAGCTGACAGGATGTTCACAGTATATAAATAGAAGGTCCTGGAAGGGGCATGGTCTGGCGTTTTGGGAATTTCCTACTTGTCCATAGAAAGAAAAATCAGAGAAATTATACTGTTCTTCAGAACTGGTAAAGTAATCATTTGTCCCATCTGATGCTACTATGCTCTCCTTTCCTCCTCCCCAGTCATTTAGCATCTGTGTTTATGGCATAATCAGACACAAGGAGAACTGGGCTGTCCTATTTTTTCTACTTGACTGTCAACATCCTGAGTGGAGAAGAGAAGGCAACTAACACTAACTGAGCAACTCTTATGTGTCATGTAGATTATATTTGATCTTTACCATAAACCACATTATTTTTATTACAATATCCATCACCATCTTATAGATAGGAAAATTACAGTGGGTAATTTGCTTAATGTAACTAGGTAAGAGGCAGAGTTGTGATTCTAACTCCAAAATCCATTTTATCTCCTCATAGGGTCTATTACAAGGCTCTGTACAGAGTAAGAACTCACTAGAGGTGGTTGATAGATTTAATCTATAATAAACTTAAGGTTCCAGAAAAGGGCAAATAAGAAACTAGGAGCTAAAGAAAAAGGGTAGGTTGATTTCATGGCTATGCTTTTCTACTAGGCCAATTAAAGCTCCACAATTATTTTTCAAGTGCTTAATGTGTATTAATCTTTTTTTTTCTGTCTCAGAGATAGATACAGGGTTGGCTTAGGGTTCAGGTACATTTCTCAGGAGTTTCTCTCAGTCTAGTCCAGCGCTGTTGGTTGATGATTATTAAATCATTGGTTACCTGGAGTGATATAAAATTTTCTGAAAGCATCTTATAAAGCATATCCTTTGCCTCCTTTGCTGGAATCATTGCGAAGTCTTCCACCTGCTTTTGTTCCAGGTGTTTCTTTTGCAAAACTAGACGAAATATTCTGGCACAGCGAGACCCAAATCTGGAAAGGAATGAAGAAAGCAAATGGCATGCCAAGATATATCAGCTTTAGCTCCTAGTCACAGATGGTGTTTGCTGTCTCCATGTGTGGAGCCAGGACCAGAGAAGAACAGCAATCAGAGAGTTCTTTTACAGCTCCACAGGTTGATGATGGTACTGCTAATCATAAGGTAGTCACCAACTGCTGACACACTTGAGTGCCTTAGTTCCTGCCCTGATAAATAAAAGCTTTAGGAAGGTTGGTTAATTGGTACTATTGGGAATTAGGCAGGAGGGTATTTAGGGTGAAGAGTAGTAGTAGATAGGACCCACAGCAGTTGAGTGGAAAAATGGGGCAATATATGCCAAGGTATGCCGGTTGCTTACATAATGATTAAATTGTTCAAATGGGGCATGGAAAAGAAGTGTCTGACCCCAATCCTAAATAGGGTGACCCCCTTACCTCTCCTGTACAACGGACTCCAGACTGGCTGTGGCTAGGGATCCGAGAGCCTTATGCAGGTCTTTATGTAGAAGATTAAGGTTACTCAGTAATGTTTTGGCCTGGTCATCGTGATCTTAGTTTTATTCTTAAGTCTCTAATTCAGAATTCAGATGTTATTTGTTTTTTACATTGATCACATTTATGGTGAGTATTTCTAAACCCTAATTAAACCTAATTATCGTGTTTAAGTCAGGAGTTAGCTTAACAAAAATTTGGTTAATTAATAGTCCTTTTTACTTCTTTATTATCAATGTGTTAGTTAACTTATTTAGTATAGTAAATATTATCAAACCTTGTCTTTTCTAAGTCACCACTCTCTTTCACAGTCTGGATGCCTGACTGTAAGGAAATCACTGGTAAGGATACTGATGATATACATTCCTCCACCACTGTCGCCAGACTTTCCAACAAACTCTAGCTATAAAAAAAAAAAAAGAGAGCGAGTGTGTGTTAACTGAATGGAAAATCCAGTGATTCTGTTTGTAAAAGAGCAAATCTGGCCAAGAGTCTGTAGGAAGTAACCCTCATATCAGGTTATGGTAGAGAAATTGTCTGAGTTGGCTATAAGAGAATGATACCAGGTAGCAATGGCAGAAATAAATCATAAACATAACAGAAAAAAGAAACAAACAACAAAAAAAGCAAAATCAGACTTACTGGATCATCTGCCAGCAGAGTGAGATATTGATCAAGAACTTGCTTAGAGATGTTATAGCCCATAGGCAGGGATCTAAAGATCTATGGGAACAACAAGAGACAGTGAAAATTGGTTTGAGAACTTAGAATTGCTGACACTGCTAAAATATAGATATGTTAACTTTAGATACCACAATATAAAAATATCCAAAAATACAGCAGCATTGTTTGTAACAGTGAAAATCTAGAAACAATCCAAATACCCAATAATATGAAATTGATTAAAATAAAGTACAGCCTAGTTATTAAGTGGAATATGATATAGCCATTACACAGAATAAAACAGATATAACTGATGTGAAAGAAGGTTTACATCATACTGGCATGTGAACAATCCAAGTTTAGAACAGTAGATAGGATATAATCCATTATTTTTTGGTTAAAAATATATACATATACTTACACATATGTGAGATGATACATTAAAAAAAGGTCTGAATAAAGATACATATCAAACTATTAACAAGGATCTCTGAGGTTGGAATTATGCAAAACTATACAGGGTCCAGCAGAAATAACGCCTGACTGAGTGGTTGGTAGGGTAATAACATGGGTGTAATAATTTATGGTTTTAACTTGAACATTTCACCTAAAATATTATATGGTATGCTTGAGTATGATATTGTTATGTTACAGAATTACATGCTTATGATTTTGTAATAAAAAAGAGGCATTATTTGTGCTGGGCCCTGTGTATATTTAAATTGAGGTATGTTACATATATATCAGCACAGGTCTTCAGGATTTAATTTGATGAGTGTTGAAAATTGTATACACCCATTTAAGTACCAACCACAACAAGATATAGAACATATTCGGCATTCCTGAAAGTTTGGGGAACTACAACTTTTATTTTTTAATCCTCAACCTGAGGACTTTAAATTTTTTAAATTTTTTTATTTTAGAGAGACGGGTGGGGAAGAGAGACAGAAACATCAATTGTTTGTCTCTCATACACATCCTGACCAGGGGGATAGAACCCACAACCAAGGTATGTGCCCTGACCAGGGAATGAACCCACAACCTTTTGGTCCATGGGGTAATTCTCCAACCAACTGAGCCATACTGGCCAAGGTGGAACTAAAACTTTTTAAAAATTATACCTGTCTATGCTGTTTGAATATAGGTCATGTAATTACTTTTGTCATCAGAAAAAAACATTTATTTTTTTGTTATACAAGTTAATTTTTTAAATATAAACAATATAAAAGTTTAGTAAGTATATTTTATATGGATAAATATAATTATGAAAGTAACAGAATATAAGTAAACATACTAGAAACATTAAATATTAACATTTTAAGAAACATATATAATAAAACAAATTTAAAATGTACAAAATTAATATATTGAAAAAAAACAAATATAAGGGGCCAAATAACATCCTGAGCACTAAGACTCTCAGATTCCAAATAGTGCATTCTTAGAATAGGAATAGTTTGTACTTTGACTAATAGAATGGTTTAGGTTTTTATAAGCTGGATCCAAGAGACCAAATATTTTGTAACTACTATTGAAGATAATCCCAGTCCCACTTTAAACAAAAAGATTTTCAAGGCTCAAAGCTCAACCTAACCCCAGGCTATATGTCATAATATCCAAGAACCTGTCAGAAAAGTAGTACAACATCAAACTCACCTCATTGGAAGACAATGGCTGGGTGAACGGGGCACTAGAAGGAGTGGTAATCTCACTCATCCGAAGCATGGTCCTCACAATCTCGCTGCTGGTCTGTATTTGAAAAGTGAACTGGAATTCAGAATTCATTCTTCTATGCCTGCTCTAGCTAAATACCAATGGCCATATCTGGCAAATAAGAATGTCCCTGATGGCCACTGTCCCACCCACTTAAATATCACCTGGTCCATCCTGTTGGCAACTGCACTGACAATGGCTTGGTCTCGGAAGTGCTGGTGGAATCTGTCAAGGTTTGCCTGCCAATAAATTCCATCATCTGGAATGGGCTGAGGAGGGGAAAAGGATTAGAAACATCTAGATATAGTGGAGTTTTCTGGTGAGGAACTTGGATTGAACTGGTCACCATTTCTTTTCTTATAGAGTAGCAACAAATTGATTGCAGAATAATCATCTAGTCATGTGGACTAGTGCCTCAATAAATTCAGTCTCAGACTTCAGATTCTCTAAGCCCACCTCCACTCTTTTTCTATTTATATTTTTACTCTTCTCCAGTATCCTCAAATCTCTCATTTACCCCACCCTTATCACTCTCAGCAGATGACCTTGCATCTTATTTTAGAGAGAAAACAAAAGACATTAGGCCAGAACTCATTAAATTTTGTGCACACATCCCAACATTTCTTTCCTTTATTAATTCCACTTTTATCCCAGTGAAAAAAAATGTTCCTCCTTTTACCTAAAGTTAATGCCCCCATACAGGTATGCTAGATTTTACCTTCTCCTGCATTCTCAGGGACCCAGTTCAGTTTTCCCCCTTCTCAATCTTCAGCCTCTCTTTCTTTATTGTCTTTCCCCCATCAGTCTCTACCTTGTTCAGATCTCTACTACTTTAAAATAATTATTCTTCAACACTATGCTTTTTCTCATTTTTGTCATAGCCAAGATTTTCAAAGAGTTGACCATCTGCAGATGTACTCAACCCATTTCCACCACTACTGAATGAAATGCCAAGATCCCTGAGGACTTCCTTGTTGCTAAGTTCAAAGAATACTTTTCAGTTCTGATCTTTTTTGATCTTTCTGAAACATATGACATGGTTGGACGTTGTTTTCCTTAACTCCGTATGGCCCCTTGGATTTTATGACATCGTTCTTTTTGTTTTTCATTTCCTAATTTTAAATTTTTTAAAAAATTGATTTTAGCAAGAGGGGAAGAGGGGAACAAAGGAGAGAAACATTGATCGGTTGTCTCTCATATATGCCCCGACTGGGGGATGGAACGCATAACCTAGGCATGTGCCATCACCGGTTATCGAACCTGCGACCTTTTGGTTTATAGGACAATGCTCCAACCAACTGAGCCATACCAGCCATGGCCTATGACACCATTCTTTATTCATGCTTCTCCTATCCATTCTGACTACTCTTCCTCAGTCTGCAGATTCCTGTTCCAGATGTCACCTACAAATACTGGTGTTCCTCAGGGTTCTGTCCACAGTCCTTTTTTTAAAAAAAATTTTACTTTACATATTGTACTTAGGTGATTTTACCTGCTCTCAAAGCTTTAACTATTGATGCACTCCCAAATCTATTAATTCTAGAATTCTCTATCAAACTCCAGATGCATAGACTAAACTGCCTATTTGACACTTGCACCTGTTCCCCAAAACTGTTCTTTCTTCAAAGTTTTCAGCTAACTATACTACAACCAACCCAATTTCTTATGCTAGAAACTTGAGTATCATCTCTAACCTCCTGCTCTCCCTCATATACCATCCAATTACCAAGTTCTACCTAGTCTTCATATTTATTAATCTATTTTTGTTTATCTTATTTCAGGCTCTAATTATGGCTCACATTGATACCATAGCCTCCTAGCTGGTTTTCCTTTTTTCTTTTTAATATAGTAGATGATATGAAAATGGTAACTATGTTTTCTTTTAATCTTGTTCTTTTTGCATTATTCTCCCCACTGCTCAGAGAGCAGTGCTTTTCTTTTTACTTTTTGGGGGTCACAATTCCCTTGAAGACTATGAAGTGTTCTACAGAAAAATGTCTATGTCCTTTACTAAGATGAGGAAAGCTGCGAGAGTAGATATTTGGGTTGGGGGAAAAGCAGTTATTCTGTTTTGGCTATACTGAATTTGAGATGCTTTATAGAGACACATAGAAAAAGCATTTGAAGATAAAAGCTCAGGCTCACATATAGCTTTCTGACTTATTTCTCACCACTGCTTCCCATGGGTCTCTATGTTCCAGTTATTCTGAATAACAATCTTTTTGTAGGCTGACCTCCCCCTTTTTTGCATAAACTGCTACCTCTGTCCAATTATTGAAGTTAGTTAAGCCTCAGAAGGGAGACAGCAATGGAGTTCACTCTTCATTAGTCTATTGCTAGCCAATATTTAGTGTAGTTCATACCTCTACTACTTCTCAACCCAGGGATCTTTAAAGTCTCTTGGGTCTTATCTTAGTGCTCTTTCTGGCTTGTCTCAGGGTGAGGACTTCTAATCAAAAAGCCCCACTACCTCTTTGTTATCTGTGGTATGTTTTGGTCTCTTGGCCTTGGGCTCCCCAGTAGCATCATCCTCAGACGATCTCCTCCTTTTACCTTTTCCTGCCAAATAAAACAGATGGAATAGTTAGGCTACATCTCATATGATGACAGGAAATGACCAAACATGACAGCAGGTGTGTCCCTATACCAAGGGTATCTGTAGCTGCTTCTACGTTAAAGTTGCTCAGGAGATGAAGTAGCTACAAGAAACTGATGTAAACGATGAAGTTATATGAAATTCCACACGTTAAAAAAGAAGTTTATAATCTTAATCCCTCAAATTGCTCCTGTTCAATTGTACAATGACACTGGAGAGCGGACTGTTGAGGAGCTGCTGTTGATAGGCTGAATGAGGACACAAAGGTTTTTGTTGTGGTTTTTTTTTTAAAACCCAAAAGAAAGGGAGTAAAGATCTGCTCTAATGCTTCCTTTCACAGTAAATGGCAACATCATCCTCCCACACATGCTCATATAGATGTCATTCTTGATACCTGTCTCCCTCACCACTCCTACATCTAATTTTTCAATGGTTTGTCTACATTTACTTTTGTCCATTCTTTCTGCACACAGAAAAATCTTTAGAAATATAAATGTCACTTCGCTGCTTAAAATCCTTTAGTGGTTTTCCTGTGCTCTTAGGATAAGAAGGGATACTCTATGAAGTCTTGTATGATCTAGCCCCCGCCTATCTCCCTGACCTTATTCTCATGGCTCTTTCCTTTTTTCAACGTGCTTTAGCTGACCTTCTTTCACTTTCTTAAATACTGTATTCTTTTTTTCTCACTACATACTATTCCTTTTGCCAAAAACGCTTGTCCCTTGTACACCTTCATATCTTACCTCACTGGTTGGCTCTGACTTCTGCTTCAAATTTTAGGTCAAACGCCACTTTCTCAAAGAAGCATTTGTCCCAAACCCCCAGGTTATTCCAGTCCTTTGTTATGTGTTTTCAAAACACTTCACACTTTTCCTTCATAGTGTTTATCACAGTCTGTTAGTTATATGCCTAGGTGGTTATTTAATTAGTGTAAGTCCTCCTGTATTAGCCTTAAGCCCCATAAAGGCAAAGACAATAAAGGTTTTTCATATCTTACACCATAGTATCTGGCACAGAATAAATACTTGGTAACTGCTTGATTCATTCACTCATGTAGCAATTACTGAGGAAGTACCCAGAATTAGGGCAAATCACAGTTACAGGGGTCAAAATTCCTTACCTATCAAGCTCAGTTTAGGAACCAGGTACATGTCCTTTTCATTGATTACAAGAGTCGGGGCAGGTGGCAGTGGCCCAGAGTCTGGATTCTCAGTGGCATGTACCAGCGGGCAACGCTGCACAAAGTGTGTGTCTGCTAGTCGCACAAATATGCTTGATACCTCAGTATAGTCCATGGTCTTGCCATCTGTACAAGAAGAGAAAAAGAGGCAGATGAGATGGTCTAAAATAGCTGAGGGTCCGCTCCTGCAGTCAGCCAATCAATGCTTTTGCTAATAGCTGTTGATACAGTACTAACCCTCCATAGTTTCTGTGAGCCGGTCTGCCACTTTCTTCACAAGAGCTGACATTGTCATTTTGCCATTCAACAGCAACTCCTCAACAATCAGCTCTCCAGTGTCATTGTACAGTGTTTTGGCAGTATAGATGTAACGGGGATACCTGAGCATTCGCAACACCCGGCTGCACTGGGCTTCATATTCCACCATACCACGTTTGTGCACTTGATAGATCACCAGGTTATGTTGGATGAGGACACAAAGAGCTTTTTTTACCTAGATAAGACCCAAAAGAAAGAGAGGAAAGATCTAAAGACAGAACTTATTATTGGTGGCAATTTTTGCCCAACAGTTCACTAAGCTTCAGGAAATGACTGGATAAGAACCTCTGGGCCACCTTCCTCCTTCCTTGGAAGAGCTAGTAAGAATCACACATCAATGAAAGAAATCAGGAAGATTCCTTGCTATGATGCTTGTATTTCCTCTGAATTTTATCTTTCAAAGTACAATTTACTTCTTCTCTATTACTTTCATTCCTTAAAGGTCATACTGAAATTCATAGGCTCATTATGAATAAATGAAGTATGGAAAAGGAAGAGCAAAGTTTTGCCTAAGAAGCAATGATAAGCCAGGAACACTTTGAGAAGCAGAACCTTAGGGCCTACGTCTCATCCTCTTTCCTCACAAATAATACTCTTCTGATCCTGGAACAGGCTTTCAAAGGTAGGTAAAAGAAATTGATGAAAATAAAAGCAACTTATATCATCCAAACCTACCTGATCCAGTGATGTTCCTGTGTCATGGACAATTACTCTTAGTGGCTGGCTACCAGTTCTGATTAGGTGGACTCCAATTTTTTCCACGATCTCTCCAAAATGTTCTTGCAGCAACAAAGAACATAGTTTAATTTCTGCTTGAGTCATCGTACTAAGGAATCTCAGAGCTGGAATGGAATAAAAAAAGCAAAACAAAACACTGTGCAGGGAAGTTTTTCATTTATGTTGGCAGTAGAACTGCTGAATATAAATTCATGTTCTTTGTAGAGGGTGATTCCATATATCAAAAGCCTTAAAATTTTGCATATCTTCAACCTAATAATTTTGTTATGGATATCTGTTCTAAGGAAATAATAAAAAGATGTCACTGTAGTTCTTCAGATACTAACATACTGGAAACAACCTAATGTCTAACAGTACGGAATTAATTCAATAAATTATGGGATACCCATACAATGGAATACCACTTCAACACTTAAAATTACATATACTATGTATTAGCATAGAAAATTGTTCACTGAATAAAAGGTTACAAAGCAAAATGTACAGGAAAATTTAATTAAGAAAAAAAATGTATGAATAAAAAAAGACTGGACTATACACCACATTTACCTTTATGGGATTGTGTGTGATTCTAGTATTCTTTAAAGATTGGGTGTAGGTGGTTTTGCATTGTCACAGACCTTCGGTTCTACACTCCATTGTTTGGAAGAATTAAGGCCACTTCACAGCTTATTGGGAGTGTACAGGCAGCATCATTCCCAGTCCATAAAGGGAATGGCAACTTAGAAAAAGAAACAGGTAAAGGGAAGCTTCGCAATAGGGCGTTTCAAATAGGAGATGAGGTATGATGTTTGCAGGGCAGTATCTAATTCTGAAAATTCTACTTCTTGACAAAGTAGACACAAACAGAAACAGGCTATCTCATTACTTCTTCATCTTTTTTTTTTTAATCATATGGGCTACCAAACATTGGTTTGCTCATTTAGTCCTCCCAATTCCTCAGAAGCCAAGTCTTTCCCTCTTAGCTTCAGCATCCCATCCACACGTCTTTAGGTAAGCACCCCCAGACTGCCATTTTCGAAAAGGCCTTCGAAGGAGCTTGGTTCTAGCTCTTTACTCCCTGCACGCAGGTTCTCAGTTCGGGACTGGGTTCATTGTTGCAGAGACAGGGCCGCCCCGTTGGGACAGCGTATGCCACTAACCTCCGGGTCACCGCAATCTCACGCCGCCAGTTCCCCACCACGGCTTCGTGCGGATCCCGCTAGCCGCCCGGGCAGACGGGGGAGCCCTTGGGCCCTCTCTTGCAAGAGGGAAAACGAGGAAGACTCGGAAAAGGGAAGGGCGTAGGCCACTCTACCCCAGAGTTTCAGTGGTTTCCGGGGACGCTCTTTCTTTCTTCTCGCTGGGAGGTTGGAGGACTGACGAGGGGCGTTGGAGGATCGGCGGGCGGATTCTCCTTTTTACGCCTCTTAGGTGCTGGAGGCGGGCCTTGGGGGTCTCAATCGGCGCCGCCGCCTCTTTGGGCCAGGCCGACTCACGTGACTGACGCGGGCTCCGAAGCGGCGGGCCGCACTGAGGAAGCAGCGGCGGCGGCAGAGGCGGGCGGTAGCGGCCAGGCGAGGGACGGGCTGCCTGCCCCCTCGGACGCCGCGGCGAAAGAGAAAAATGGCGGAGGCGTCGGCAGCCGGGACGGGCTCAGGCGCCGCCGTCGCTGCGCACAGGTTTTTCTGCCACTTTTGCAAGGGCGAAGTCAGCCCCAAACTACCGGTAAGATCCCTGTGTCCCCTGCACTCGGGCATCGGCGTGGATTCCTCGCCTCTAAGTCCCGGAATGGCTTTTAAGCTTCCCCCACATTCCTGAAATCGGTGTCCCAAATACTGTTGCCCACCCTTCTCTGGTCGTTGGCCCCAGATCCTAAGCGTCCGGGCCCTGGTTTCCTAACTCCCTTTCAGTCTCCCCACGAACCCCCACCCCTCGGACGCTCCACCTGCCCTTTACTTCTTTTATTACTTCCCCTCTCCATCTTTTTTTCTTCCTTAGCAGGTTCTACCCTGACAACTCTCCCCTCAATTTTCTTTCACTCTCCTTCACGTTGGCTCCTTCTCACGATGACCCTCCTCCCCACGACATTCTTTCCGCTATTGCTTCTTACCGTCCTCTTATTTCCTTTTCCACTTTCCACCAGAACTGCCCCACTCCCCGTTTTCAGTGAATCAGAATAGCGTGTCGATGAGGATGGACCATGTGGGGTTGTCTTTAGGGAAGGCAGAGAGCCCGGAAACAGGGTGGAAGGTAATTGAGGTGGAGGAGGATTTTGTTACTCAGTGCTTTCCAGGGTTCTTGTGAAAGTGAAAACAGCAGTGTACTAACGACTTGCAGACTGCCTGCGCTTTCTACCACTGTTGTAGGCAATGGTTTTAGGAAGAAGACAGGGCATTTTGTTTCAACTTGTTATGCTGCCAGGGTCTTCAGTACCATCTCCCTTATCAGCACCCCTCCCCCATTCCGTTTCTTTACCTAATGAAAAGGTAAAGGACAGAAAGCGACTGCATCCTCTGACATAAATTGGTTTTTACCAGTTTGTGCTAGACTGTTAGCCCCTAGAGAAACAGTCCTGTGGTTGTGAATAGAGTGTTTCTGCAGCATGCTAGCAAAACCCTGAAGCTGTTTGGGGTTGGGTTATGGCTACTGCAGGGAGACCAACCCCGGAGATTATGAATCCTTTGGCCAGCCATCTTTAGGATTAGTTATGATTGTTTTACTTAGTAGTATAAAGGTTCAGGTTTAAGACAGGGTGGCTACCTTAAACTTAACTCTGTATTTATAGTGTCTCAGCATCTATGGAAAGGCCTACTGAAGCATGACTGTATGTCTTATTTCTTAGAAAGACAAATGGAGTCCTGTGAATAAGCACCTAAAGGACATTTTAACCATATCACCTAAAAGTTGTGCTTTTTCATGCTCTTATGACATTTTTTTTCCTTTCTATTCACAGTCAAGTTTCATCTTACAAAACAAAAAATTTTAAATTAGGCAGCTGAAAATCTTTTTTAAAAGAAATGGTTTATTAGGCCATTACTGGCCAAAAAGAAGACCATTCTTTGGGCATGAAGTCTGAATCACCAGCTTGGTAGGAAAGACATGTCCGTTGTCTTGGGGTTTGCAAGCATTTTTATACATCAAGAAGGATGTAAGCCAGCTGAAAGAATTTACATTAGCCATAGGCAAAGAGATGGGAGAAGGTGAAGTGGGGCCAGCTTTAGGATAGGCACAAAATCCACACACACACACACACACAAAATCCCCTCCTGTGGATTGGCTGTGGGCAACACGTCTGGAAAGACCATGTGTAAACAACAAGCAGACACTCCTGGAGTTCCGTGCTGCCTGGCTACGATTATCTGCTGGAATAGCCACCTACATATTAATACAAAGTTCCAATACACGAGCAATCTTTTTTCAGAGCTGGTCCACAGCTCTTAACAGGCTAATTGTTCTGTCACTTTCACTCTCTGGCCTCTGTAATTTTAATTTAGAACATCTCAGAATTTTTTTGTCATTCTACATGTTACTTAGTTTTGCTTGCCTATTCATATTCATGTGCACTTTGTGCCATATTTTAATGCTGAGAAGAGCAGATGCCTTGGTTTTTTTTTCCTGTTGACATCAGAGCCTCCAGACCTCTCTTACCACAAAGAGGGAGTCCGGAATATGTCCACATGTGGTTGAATGTGATGCCTTGTTGAACATTGTGGCCTTAGCTCTTCTGGTGCCCACCCCCCCCCCCCCCCCCCACACAATGTAAAGTTCTCTTTAAATTATAGTTGACATACAATATTATATTAGTTTCAGGTGCACAACATAGTGATTTGATATTTATGTACCTTACAAAGTGATCACAGAAAGTCCAATATCCATCTGCTACTGTTGATAGCTCTTCTGGTCCTTTAAGTTCACTTATTTACCTTTTAGGGTAAGAAAACAATCTTACCTTTCCGCAGCTTACTGTGTTTTTTCTTTTTACTACCTGAAGTCCTCACCGCATAGAGCTCTTGAAAAGGGATAACTTAAAAGATGTTAGGTATTTTTCTAAGCTTTAGTTTGATGCTTGTAAATTAAGGTCTAAGACAAATATGACAATACTTATACATACATACAAGGTTCTCTGCTGGATATCCTGAAGGCAACACCTAGGAATATGATTCCTGCTCTTAAGGGACCTCACAATTTTGTAGGAAAGACAAGACAAGCAGGGAAAGGTCAATGTAAGGTGAATGAAGAGTAATAATATGTGCTTGAGAATTCAGAGAAAGAGAAAGATGGTAGCATTGGTGAGGTCAGGGAAAGAGAGAGGTGGGTTTTATTTTTTACTTTTATTTTTTTTTAAGATTTTATTTATTTATTTTTAGACAGAGGGAAAGAGAGGGAGAGAAGCATCAGTGTGTGGTTGCCTCTCGCATGCCCCTATGGGGACCTGGCCTGAGGCATGTGCCTTGATTGGGAAATGAACCGGCTACCCTTTGGTTGCAGCCTGTGTTCAGTCTACTGAGCCACACCAGCCCGGGCGAGAGGTGGGTTTTAAATTGTGTTCTGCAGGATAGGTAGGATTCAGACTGAGAAGGCATAGGTGGAGGTAGGAAAGGAAGAGAGATTTGAGGGAGACACATTTCGTAAATTGTTACGCATTTTTTAGAAAAATGCGCAGTGAGGTCAAGAGTAGAGTTTTTATTCCTAGGTAAGCCAGTGAATTTCATTTTGTTTCATGGCCATTTCTATATCCTTAACCCAGACTGTCATCTTGAAAATGTTGGTTGTAAGAATGACCAACATTTAATTGTGACCAACAGTAAGTGGCTGGTTTAGGACAAATCTGTCTCTGCTACTGAAAAACCAACTCAAACACTGATAACTCAGTATGGTTTTTATATGTGTAGGGCAATATTGAAAAGTTCTCTCTGATCCTCTCAGATAACAGAATAAAAAGTTTCATTTAGAAAGAAGACCATGAAATTTGGGGAAACCATAAAGGGAATTTTAAAATGAAAATAATACTCAGTGGTACTGTTATCTGTTAGGTTTCAAGAAAGTGTCTGTTTTCCAAGTGAGTATTGGTTTAGAAATTTTCTTTTTTCCCAAACATGTTTGGGTGGTGGTGTTTTTTTTTTGTTTTTTTGTTTTTAAAGATTTTATTTATTTATTTATTTTTAGAGAGGGACAAAGAGAGGGAGAGAAACATCAATGTGTGGTTGCATTTTGCGCATGCCCTACTGGGGACCTGGCCTGCAACCCAGGCGGACGCCCTGCACTGAGAATCGAACTGGCCACCCTTTGGTTCTCAGGTCGTCACTCAGTCCACTGAGGCACACCAACTAGGGCTGGTTTAGAAATATTCTGTGTTTAAGAGTGTTTTCCTATTTTCAGTGAAAATAATTTCAGTAAAATTTAGTGAGTAGTAAATTTGGATTTTAAAATAAGAGGCTTTGATTATGTGGCCTAAAACACCAGGGTTTAAACTTTATATATCATTGAGTACCTGTATATTTTTTGGTCATCAGATAGAAGAAATTAAGTACCTTAAAATAATTTTATTTTCAAAACATAAGAAGCTTCTACCTCACTTAATTATTCTATTGAGAGACAATGTGAAGTCAAAACTGATGGAGTTACTATGTTACGTTGAGGGCTAACTGGGTAAGTACCACAGAGGTACTACTTGATTATCTAGCACTGATTTGGTTCTATATATAGTAGTGGCTTATTAAATATTTCATGAGTGAATAAGTGATACAAGTTCTATACCCAATAATTTTATCTGAAAAGTAGTGGCTTTAGTGTTGTGAGATCTAAAGGCTTCAGTGGTACAAAATGTAGGTGCTACCACATGAAGTTTGAACATAGAGTTTCAGTAAATGTGTTCTAGAAATAAGAAATATGTATTCTTATGGGTCGAAGGCTCACTCTAGTCGTAATTCTACTGATAGACATGTATATACTGGGGGAATCTGTGGGACTTTTTCACTATGGGGAAGAATAAAATCTTACTGCAGATGAAATTTCTTGTATTTTGGGGGGAAGTACTGATTGGGTACTAACACTCTGTGTTCCTTTATGTTTAGTTAGCTTTTTATGACCTTATGTTCAGGGAGAGGGCAAAGACGGCCATCTTAGAAGAGGAGAGGTGTGGATTGCTGCTTATCCTCTAGAGTCTAGTTAGAAGGGGTCTGAAAATAATAAGAAGCCTGTAGGTGCTGTCGTCTTGTTCATCTCACCACAGCTTAGTAATGAGCAGTTAAGGAAATGGTGTAGAGCAGTATTTCTCAGCCAATGGCAGTTTTGCTCTACAGGAGATATTGGCAATATCTGTAGACCTTTTTGGTTGTCAAACTGGGAGTGGGGTAGAGGGTTGATTCAGGCATAGTGGGTGAGACCAGGGATACTGCTAAACATGTTACACAATACACTGGACAGCCCCCCACAAAAATAAAATTAATGGGCCCAAAATATTGGGAGTGCTGAGGTTGAGGAAGCCTGGTATAGAAGGATGAAGTGGGGATAGTCATTGTTGTCTTAAGTCAGTATTGCTTAAAGTTTTGTTCTGATATGGCTTTGATTTCTAATTTTGGGATCCTGATGAGAATTTTCAGTAAATTGAGATCATGTAATTTTAGACAAAGCCCTGATGGGAGTGATTGTTTAGAATAGTGGTTAGTCGCTGCTATTCCATTTATAGCAGTAATTGTTGGGGTCACTTTATCTCCTTGTGGTCA